TTCATTTTTAGGCTAAATACAACAAAGATTACACCAATAGCGATATCACTGAAGCCTATGCTCAATATTATTATGCCTACAACAAGCGTATGATTGAACGTCATAATGCTCTGTTCGAACGTGGCTCTAGAACCTATAACTTATCTGTCAATCAATTTACCGATATGCGTTTTATACATTTTAATGCCCTATTCCCAGTGGCTACTGGTACAGGACCTTCCTTCGATTCCCCCTTACCTTCAGTAAAGCCAGCCACTCCCTCTTACGATCCCATAAATGATTTTGGCTTCTTCTCAAACATAGAAAATCAAGGTACTAAATGTAACAGTGGTTGGGCTTTTGCCGCTGCCAAAGCTATTGAACTTTTCCAAGCCCAACAAATGGGCAATATGAATCCTGCTCCCTTATCGGCACAAAATTTCATTGATTGTGCCGGTCGTGCTGCAGCCTGCAAAAATCAAGTGCCTCAAGCCGCCTTCGATTATTTGACACAATACAATATGGATTTGTATTTGGAAAGTGAATACCCCAATAACAATACCCTCGGTGAACCAGGCATGTGCACACCCATGGGTCAATTGGTTACAAATTTGGGTTCCTATTCACGTCTCACAGATGGTGATGATGAATCTTTGAAGGCTTATGTTTCTAATGGTTTCCCCGTGATTGTGGAATTCAATCCCACTTCATTTGAATTTATGCATTATTCAGGGGGTATTTTCCAACAACCCTCAGTGCGTCAGGGTTCTCACTTTATGGTGGTTATTGGTTATGATACAGATGCCACAACTGGCATGGATTATTGGATATTACAGAACTCGTTCGATACCACTTGGGGTGAAATGGGTTTGATAAAAGTCGCCAGATCAGCAACGACGAAATTGACCAAAAATGCCATATTTCCCACGGAGTTAGCTTAAGTTTAACGATTGCTTAAGTAGTTTTAGTAATATTTATTTGTATTTATAATGTATTTTTTTTTATAAAAATAAAGAAAGAAAGTTTTTCAAAAAAAAAAATGTAAGAACTCGTGTATAGTTTCATTTATAAACTAGTCTATTCATTTGTCTAGAATCTCGTTCATAAACTCCTCCATGAATATGTATATTAGCTCATAGATCCAAACTACTAGTCATCTATAAACTCGCCTAAATTCTCGTCTATAAAATAGTCTAAAGTCTCATCTGTAAACTGGACTATTTTCTAGTCTCTAAACTCTTCTACAGTCTAGTGTATATTTTGGTCAATAAACTCACTTACTGTTAGATCTACAAACTAATCTATAAACTCTCTATAAACATGTCTACGTAGCGTCTTCTATAAACTTGTCGATAGACTCGTCTATAGTCTAGCCTATAAACTGGTCTAAATTCTCGGCTATAAACTCCTCCATAGTCTAATTTAAAAACACGTCAATAAATTTGTCTATTAATATGTCTATAATCTCATCGATAAGTACGTCTATAGACTCGTCGATAAATACATCTATAGATTCGTCTATAACCATGACTATAGATTCGTCCCGTCTATTGTCTAGTCTATATACTCGTCTTTTGTCTCCACTGTAGATTCGTCTATAGTCTCATCTATAGACTCGTCTTTAAACACTTTTCTTAAATAAAGTTTTCTATAAACTAGTCTCGTCTATAAACTACTATATTGTCTCGTCTACAAACTCGTCTACAGTCTCCTCTATTTAATTGTCTATTGTCTTGTATATAAACACATCTATAGACTCTTATAGGAAGTCATCTAGAAACTCGTCCACAGTCTCGTCTATAAACTCGTCTATAGTCTCGTCTATAGTCTATAAACTCGTGTATAAACTCATCTATAGACTATTATAGAAAGTCATCTAGAAACTCGTCTACAGTCTCGTCTATAAACTCGTCTATAGTCTAGTCTATAAACTCGTCTATAGTCTCGTCTATAAACTCGTCTTTAATATCGTCTAAAAAACTCGTCTACAGTCTCCTCTATTTAATTGTCTATTGTCTTGTATATAAACTCGTCTATAGACTCTTATATGAAGTCATCTATTAACACGTCTATAATGTACTTTATAACCTCGTCGATAAACTCGTTAATAGTGGTCTATAAACACGTCTATAGTCTCGTCTATAGTCTCGTCTATAAACTCATCTATAGTCATCTCTTATAGGAAGTCATCTAGAAACTCTATATAAACTCGTCTATAGTCTCGTCTACAGTCTCGTCTATAAACTCGTCTATAATCTCGTCTATAGTCTCATCTATAAACTCTTCTATAGTCTCGTCTATAAACTCGTCAAAAAACTCGTCTATAGTCTCGTCTATAAACTGGTCTATAGTCTCATCTATAAACTCGTCTATAGTGTCGTCTATAAACTCGTCTTTAGTATCGTCTATAAACTCGTCTTTAATATCGTCTATAGTGTCGTTATAAACTCGTCTATAGGTACATCTATAGTTAGAATCTTATAAATCGAAAAACTACTCTTTAAATTCATCTACAGTCTCATCTACAGTCTCGTCTATAAACACTTTAATAGTCTCACTTATAAACTCGTCTATAGTATCTTAAATAAGGTCTTCTATAAATTAGTCTACAGTCTCGTCTATAAACTCGTCTATAGTCATATCTATAAACTCGTCTATAGTCTCATCTATAAACTCGTCTATATGTTTGTATATAAGTAAACTCGACAATAGTCTCTAATATGAAGTCGTCTAAACTATCGTCTATAGTCCCATCTATGCACTCGTCGACAGTCACATCTTGTCTAAAAACTTGTCTAAAAACTTATCTAAAAACTTATCTGAAAACTTATCTATAAACTCGTCTATAGTCTCATCTATAAAATAGTATATATATTTTTCTCTAAAAAACTCGTCTATAATCTCGTCTGATTTCAAATTTTTTTCGACAAGTCATTGACTTGTTGCTATTGCTGTAAAGGCAATCCGTGGCTCTTATGAAAATATTTATTATCCATTAACAACAACAAAAACACTCATTATATAAATATACAGATTCCCAAGTTAAATAAAACCTTTTTTTTCAAAATCAAACAAACACACACACAGTTTGTTTATACAAATTTTAAATGAACCTTTGACAACCGGTAGCTGGTAAATACTTGCAGTCTCTCACTGGGCTACACACAAACAAATTAAAACAAACGGTTTGTGTGACATTGTCGGAAAAGGGCCAAAGAACAAACAATAAACATAATTGTACATAACAAATGTACACAATGTATTTGTAAAACAAACGAATAAATTTCGGTTGCTGGATATTCTAATGTTTTGGTAATATTTACAAACTACTAAGCGAATAATCGATTATTCGAATAATTTCAGATATTTTTTTAAATTATTTTAATTTTGATAACATATTTTCTGGGTTTCGAATCGTTTATTGTGTTTTTTATGATTATTTTTTTAAAAATTTAATCGAATAATTTTAATCGATTATTCGTAAAAATTTAAAGTTCATCAAGACTTATATTTATTTCCATAAAATTTACTAATTAACAAAAAAAAAATAGAATAATATTAATCGATTATTCGAATAATTTTAACCGATTATAAAAAAGTAGCATTTTAATCGTTTTAACGAACATATTTAATCGATTAATCGGATAATCGAATAATAACATTCGATTAATCAAATCATTTTTTTTTTCGTTAATAAGTAAAAAAATGATGAAAAATCAAATGAATTACAAAAAAACTGTTTATTCAAATAATCGGATAATTTATGTGGATATTTTTATTCCATTAATCGGATAATATTAATCGGATAATTTTTAATTTTTCTTAAAAGCATGTTTTTCTTTCGTTAACATGAAAAATATTTAATCGATTAATCGCATAATTTTATTCGAATAATTTTAATCGATTAATCGAATCATTTTAATCGTTGCTTAGTAAAAGTGTATTTTTTTATAAATTTTCAAAAAAAGTATTGAAATCATTTAATCAAACATATTTAATCGATTAATCGGATAATTTTGAACGAATAATTTTAATCGATTAGTCGTAAAAGATTAATTTTTGGTTTAAAACTCATAAATAAAAAAGTAATCAATGTCATGTATATATTTGAACGATTAATCGGATAATATTAATCGAATAATTGAATACAAAAATTTTTGATTATTTATTCGGATAATTTTATTCGATTAATCGAATCATTTTAATCATTGCTTAGTAAAAGTGTATTTCTTTGCATTAATATTAAAATATAGTATTTTAATCGTTACCACAGACATATTTAATCGATTAATCGGATAGTTAGGAGCGAATAATTTTAATCGAATATTCGGAAATTTGTTGGAAAAAACTCAGAAATAGAAAAGTAATCGATGTCATTATCATATTTAACCGATTAATCGGATAATATTAATCGAATAACTTTATTTGATTATTGATAATTTTATTCGATTAATCGATTAACTTTAATCGTCGTGTAATTTTTTGTCAATAAAATTAAAATATACTATTTTAATCGTTACCACAGGCATATTTAAGCGATTAATTGGATAATTTTGAACGAATAATTTTAATCGATTATTTGTAAAATTTTGATTTTTGAAAAAAAAAACTCAGAAATAAAAAAGTAATCAATATCATCAATATATTTGACCGAATAATCGGATAATATTAATCGAATAACTTTATTCGATTATTTGGAAAAGCTTTATTTTTGAAAAAAATTACGATTAAATATTAAAAAATATCGTTTTGATTGATTTTACAAAAAATTGTAATTATTTATTCGGATATATTTTATTCGATTAATCGAATAATTTTAATCGCTGCTTAGTAAAAGTGTATTTTTTTTCATAAAAATTAAAATATAGTATTATAGTCGTTGCCACAGACATATTTAATCGACTAATCGGATATTTTAAAACGAATAATTTTAATCGATTATACGTAAAACTGTTAATTTTTTTAGATTTTCAGTAATAAAAAACTAACCGGTTACATAAAGATATTTAAACAATTAATAGGATAATATTAATCGAATAAAATTATTCGATTATTCGTAAAAAAGCAATTTAAAAAATAAGGATTTAATACCAATCGATCTAATTTTGTATTATAAAGGATTGTACAATAACTTTTAATCGTTAAATCGAATAATTTTATTCGAATTTAAATCGATTAATCGAATAATTTTAATCGTTGCTTAGTAAAAGTGTATTTTTTTCATAAAATTTCAAAACTACTATTCCAAACAATTTCATCAACATATTTAAACGATTAATCGTATAATTTTGAACGAATAATTTTAATCGATTATTCGTAAAAGAGTGATTTTATGGAAAAAAAAGTCAAATATTATGAATGAATATTTGAATGAATGAATATTTTGAAACGATTAATCGGTTAATATTAATCGAATAATTTTATTCGATTATTCGGATTTTTTTTAAAAAATTAAAAAAAAATAATAATTTAAAGTAAAGAGTCTTTTCTTATTGCTGCTTGAACCCTCCTAATGTTGAAAAATAACATCTGTTGTAGTTGACCGATCGACCACATAAAGAAACAAAAAGCGAAATTTAACACACATTTTTTGTTTTAATCGATATTATAGTTTTTTTTGCCACCAATGATTAATTAGCTAATAAAAATTATACAAAAAAAAAAGTCAACCAAATAAAACAAAATATACAAAAAAAAAAACAAATTAACATAATTACGTAGATTCAGTCCAATTTCTTTCTAAGCAAAAAATAACTAAAAAAATAAGCAGTAGGATTTCTATAGAAAATTTTAATCTAAAGAAATTAAAGTTGAAACAACATCCGCAGCATCTAAACAAAAACAAGTCTATGACAAATTAACAAAATATTGAAATCAAATTCAAACTCACTTCAGACTAATTTACATTAATTAAAGAAGATTTTTTTTCGGGTGATTTTTTTTTTGTTTAGTTTTTATTTTAGTTTGCTTTGAGAAACCACAAAATATACATTAATATTTTCTAAGAGTTTAAATTTAGTCATTTGGTTGAACATCTTCA